TATAATATGATTATATTCTATGAAAATTTTTAAGAAGTTTAATTCTATGTCTTCATTGTTTGTTTTTAATGAATTTCGATTACTTTGATCTAGTGATTGAGTTTCAATTGTAAATCAGCAGTTTTGTGAGGTTATGTTGCAAAGACTGGGTAGATAAGGTTCATTTATTCGTCTTTTTATTCCAAGTTTTTAGAATTCTTCTCGGCGTGGACTGTTACCGTTTCGAATTACCTTTTTGAAAAGCAATATTTAGAATATGCTTTAATTAAGGACAAGAATACTCTTTTCTCACTGTTTTTTAATTTAATATATCCTTTTGTTCGTTGAAGAAATAAGTGTTATATTAATTTTGTAACGATAATGAGATAAATGAGTACTATTTTTGTTTCATTATTTGCTAAACTCGATGTTGACATAAGTGTTACGATGACTCGTTGATGCAGCATCCACCTGTTTACTGTTCTAGTTCCTGAATTGCTAATTTCTTACTCGTTTTATGGAAGTTATCTTAATTCCTCTGGTCTTTTTGTCGTGGCAAGACTGGTTGGCGAGAGAGTATATCGAGTCAAAAGAATGATGTTTTACTGCCCTCAAACATTTGTGGCGTTTTTTTTACATTTAAGGTATGCTTAACCTTTCTTAATTAGAAATCGATATAAGATATGTGGTTGGAGAATAGTTTATCAATCAAAAAGGCTCAAGTGAAGGATGAAAAACCGAAGCTCTTCACTGTTTACCTTAATACCAATGATGAGTCATATAATTGAAAAGGACAAAAGTCAGTTAGCCCTAGGCCATCCGGAGGATTTGGAAAGTGAATTGACTTTTTGTGTAGCTAAAAATGGAAAACAAAAGATAGATTGAATTTAAAAAAATGAAATTTCAGGGAACCAAGGAAAGCATTGACGATCTAAGTTTCCAAGAAAGAAGTATGTATACAGGTTTAGAGATTAAAGATCTATGGAGACGCCTTAATGGTCTGGTTGAAACAAATTATTTTCAGATTTAAGACTTAAGATCAAGGAGAAACCTTAATGATTTGATAGGTTGAAAAAAATAATAAAATTCTACAATCTTACCGATCCAAGAAAAGTCTCGATGATCTTGAATTTAAGTAATTTAATAATTAAAGTGTTCATTGTTTCAGGTAAAATTATAAAAGATATAAAGTTTATAAAGTCCATAATCCTCGATATGAACAAGGAGCCGTCACCAAAGTAACATTGAATTTTTTAATTCTTTTTTGTTTTTGTTTTTTTTTGCACTTTTTAAACTTTATAAAATTGAGATATAATAATTTCGAAAAGTTACTGCAGATTCAAAATATAAGGTAGATGAAGTTTATGTTGGTAATTACATCATTTAAGTTTATCATATAGTTCATAAAACTTTCAGTTTTTGCGGCTTTATTAATTCCGGTTTATATGTTTTTAAGTTTCAATTGTGAATACTCAGTTTTGTGACGTTATGATGCATAGACTAGGTAGATAAGGATCATTTATTCGTCTTTTTATTCTAAGTTCTGGGAATTCTTCTCGGCAAGAACACTTACCGTTTTGAATTATCGTTTTGAAAAGCAATTTTAAAATATGCTTTAATTATTGACAAGAATACTCTTTTCTAATTGTTGTTTAATTCAATATATCCTTTGTTTGTTGAAGAAATAAGTGTTGTAATAAGATTGTAATGGTATTTTTGTTTCATTATTTGCTAAACTCGATGTTTACATAAATGTTACGATGACTGGTTGACGCAGCATCCAGCTGTTAACTGTTCTAGTTCCAAAATTGCTAATTTCTTACTCATTTTATGGAAGTTATCTTAATTCCTCGATTCTTTTTGTTGTGACAAGACTGGTTGGCGAGAGATTACATCGAGTCAAAAGAATGATGTTTTACTGCTCTCAAACCCTTGTGGCCTTTTTTAAATTTCAGTATGCTTAACCTTACTTAAATGGCAATCGATATAAGATATAGGGTTGGAGAATAGTGTATCAATCAAAAAGGTTCAAGTGAAGGATGAAAAACCGAAGCTCTTCACTGTTTACCTTAATACAAATGATGAGTCATATAATTGAAAAGGATAAAAGTCAGTTAGCCCTAGGCCATCCGGAGGGGTTGGAAAGTGAATTGAATTTTTGTGTAGCTAAAAATGGAAAACAAAAGATGGATTGAATTTAAAAAAAGGAAATTTCAGAGAACCAAGGAAAGCATTGACGATCTAAGTTTCCAAGAAAGAAGTATGTATACAGGTTTAGAGATTAAAGATCTATGGAGACGCCCTATTGGTCTGGTTGAAACAAATTAATTTCAGGATTTAAGGCTTAAGATCAAGGAGAAACCATAATGATTTGATACGTTAAAAAAACAAATAAAATTCTACAATCTTACCGATCCAAGAAAAGTCTCGATGATCTTGAATTTAAGTAATTTAATAATTAAAGTGTTCATTGTTTCAGGTAAAATTATAAAAGATATAAAGTTTATAAAGTCGATGATCCTCGAGATGAACAAGGAGCCGTCACCAAAGTAACATCAAATTTTTTTAATTCTTTTTTGTTTTTGTTTTTTTTTGCACTTTTTAAACTTTATAAAACTGAGATAAAATAAATTTGAAAAGTTACTGCAGATTCAAAATATAAGGTAGATAAAGTTTTTGTTGGTAATTACATCATTTAATTTTATCATATAGTTCATAAAAGTTTCAGTTTTTGCGGCTCTATTAATTGCGGTTTATATGTTTTTAAGTTTCAAATGTGAATACTCAGTTTTGTGACGTTATGATGCATAGACTAGGTAGATAAGGATCATTTATTCGTCTTTTTATTCTAAGTTCTGGGAATTCTTCTCGGCATGAACACTTACCGTTTTGAATTATCGTTTTGAAAAGCAATTTTTAAAATATGCTTTAATTATTGACAAGAATACTTTTTTCTCATTGTTGTTTAATTCAATATATCCTTTGTTTGTTGAAGAAATAAGTGTTGTAATAAGATTGTAATGGTATTTTTGTTTCATTATTTGCTAAACTCGATGTTGACATAAATGTTACGATGACTGGTTGATGCAGCATCCATCCATCTGTTAACTGTTCTAGTTCCAAAATTGCTAATTTCTTACTCATTTTATGGAAGTTATCTTAATTCCTCGATTCTTTTTGTTGTGACAAGACTGGTTGGCGAGAGATTACATCGAGTCAAAAGAATGATGTTTTACTGCTCTCAAACCCTTGTGGCCTTTTTTACATTTCAGTATGCTTAACCTTACTTAAATGGCAATCGATATAAGATATAGGGTTGGAGAATAGTGTATCAATCAAAAGGGTTCAAGTGAAGGATGAAAAACCGAAGCTCTTCACTGTTTACCTTAATACAAACGATGAGTCCTATAAAGTAAAAAGATAAAAGTCAGTTAGCCCTAGGCCATCCGGAGGGGTTGGAAAGTGAATTGACTTTTTGTGTAGCTAAAAATTAAAAACAAAAGATCGATTGAATTTAAAAAACTGAAATTTCAGAGAACCAAGGAAAGCATTGACGATCTAAGTTTCCAAGAAAGAAATATGTATAAAGGTTTAGAGATTAAAGATCTATGGAGATGCCTTAATGGTCTGGTTGAAACAAATTAATTTCGGGATTTAAGGCTTAAGATCAAGGAGAAACCTTAATGATTTCATAAGTTATATAAATAAGTAAAAATATACAATGTTACCGATCCAAGAAAAGTCTTGATGATCTTGAATTTAATTAATTTAAGATTCAAAGTGTTCATTGTTTCAGGTAAAAATTTTAAAAAAATATAAAGTTTATGAAGTCGATGATCCTCGAGATGAACAAGGAGCCGTCACTAAAGTAACATTAAATTTTTTAATTCTTTTTTGTTTTCGTTTTTTTTGTACTTTTTTTGAGTTTAAAAAATTGAAAAAAAAATAAATTTGAAAAGTTACTGCAGATTCAAAATTTAAGGTAGATAAAGTTTTTTTTGGTATTTACATCATTTAAGTTTATCATATAGTTCTTAAAACATTCAGTTTTTGCGGCTCTATCAATTGCAGTTTATATGTTGTTGAGCTGATTTACTGCACAAATAGTTTCTAGTTTTGTTGTCGTCGTCTGCTTTTTTCGTATTGCGATGCAGGTTTGATTAGACTCATTGAGACGAAGAAATAAGCTAATTTATGGTCAATTTGTTTTGTTTTGTTTCATTTTTCTAAAACTATGTTAGCATTAGTTCTGCCCGAGACTCGTTGGTCGCACCAGATGAGTTAAGGTTTGGGATGGCCATCTCATAAAGTAGTTTCGGATAAGGTACGCCGTCTGTTTGCCAGATAGGTTCTTACAACTCCTTATCTAATACCAATCCTAATCTTACCCTCATATCTTTGATATCTTAGTCTCAATAGATCTACAGTTATACTGGTTTATTGCGGAGGTAGAGGGAGAAGAAAGCGAATGATTTCAATCTACTATATTGATTCTCTGACTGAAACTCAGAATATTTTCAGCCTTACAATTTGTCGTAAGCTTTAGTCATGGATCATGATTGGTTAGTTGTTTTTATTTTACAGTGATAGATATCAAAGTATCTAAAAATACTTTTTTTAAACTGATTCCAATACAGTGGAGTTTGATTGGGGTAAATGGTTTGCTGATGCCGCCCTCGGCAACTTTGATCAATTTCTGGATAGTCGAGGATTTTTTACTAGACTTGTGAGGAAAGATTTCTTACAAATTTGACCCCCTATTATCTAAATGCACAATTTTTAAAAACCTCAAAGTTTTGGGAACCATTTGTTCTCTCTATATCTCGTCTTTGTGCCATTTTGTACATAATTATATCTCCCTACCCCTTAGAGGAAAAAGAAACAAACCTAAAATGATATATAGTTGCCAAGCATGTTAGAATACTCTATTTGGCCGCCCTTATGAACGAGAATTTATAAGCATTGAAATAAGCTCTCCTTGATTTATGAGCCAGACAAATTTCACTTTATTTTTCCAACAGGTTGCAGGACAAGTGGAAACTGGTGGGAGTGATGGTTGTCCGGAACCCCTTCGACATGATTGCTACTCGGTGCAAGGAGATCGGCGCCGTTTTGAATCTGAAACACCCTCAAAATCAAAAACTGATCCACATTACCTCTGCAAACTGCAGCAAAACCAGACCACTAATTCCAAATTGCCCTGAGTTTATCCGTGACTCCATGGCTAATGGTACAGCGGTGGTCAGTCAAAACAAAGATGTTCGAAAATCAATTAATGATATCGAAAACATAGCTAATTTAAGGTTTGTATTTTTTGCGATCGCACTCAATAGGTTAATCAAACACTATCATTGTTCTGTTCAGTTTTCTGCCGCTTAGTGGCTCTGTTCAGAAACACTCTCAAGATTGACGTTTGGAGCGCTTCCCTAGTGTTGAAAACTGCTAGCTTAACACTTGAAAATCAACTATAGTTTCGACCGACTCGAGTTTATGTTTCTTTCGACTATGAGTTCGATTATAGGGCCTTCTCGACTATGGATTTTCGGTCGAACTCTGACATGTGTTCGACCCGCCTCGATCGAAACATAAATCGCGAACCTCCACCCGGTGTTCAGACTTCGCAGACATATTTTCAGACTTCGCAGATTTATTGTCAGACTTCGCAGACTTTTTTTCAGACTTTTCGTCGATTCAGACTTATTAAATCTGAACATAAAACCTCGACCCGGGTAGCAACTTCTTTTCTATTGTTTTCGACCCGATTTTTGAACAAAGTGATGAATTTATAGGCTCGTGGAATTTTTTTTATTTAGACCACTTTTGCAAAACTCGGGTCCCTCGGGGTATTGATTTCTTGATATGCATAGGGCCAGCCCAGTGTGCACATCTACCACTATAGTAACCTGCCATGAGTATGTCTAAAACAGCTTGTTTTGTTATCCCGAAATCTTTCCAACTACAAAAATCTTTCCAAATTGAATTGAGGCAGCTAATTGATTTTTTTAACTTCATATACACCTCAAATTGCAGCACTTAGTTTTTGATATTATTAGCCTAAAATTCATCGTTTTACCAAGATTTAATTTAACAAAAAGTATCCCAGTGAAATCAAAGGGCAGTCAGAAAACTCATCAGTAGAGCAGTCTTGTCAATATTTTTCTTTGTTTGCGCAAAGTCGCCTTCAATGTCCAGCTATTTATCGTTTGTGGCCATTAACTTACTATTGTACTATATTGTACTATTTTTCCTACAGTCGCGGGCCTGAAATTGGTTCTCTGGGAAGCTGATAAACTTGATTTAGCTGCACTCAGTAAAAGAGAAGTATAGATTATAATGGATTTTTATGGTCAGTCTCCATAAATTTCAAAAAACATGATTTGTAATCGATTAAAAAAAGATTATGATATTACTATTTTTCGAGACAATAAAAAAGTCATTATTGATTTATAATCCATTGTGATGGATAATAACTCATTATTCTTCAAGAAACGCCATCGCTTCTTTTCGTTTTCTTTTTGTCATCTTTTGTGTGCTTTTCGGTTGGTTACTCAACAAACATCATCGTTTAATTTCATTTTATTTTTTTTTGTTTCAGGGTAATTTCTGTTAAAGGATTTTTCTGCGCAAGATCTGAAAATCATTATTTCTTACAGATCTTCAGAACTTCAGATCTGAAATAACCCTGAAAAACAAAACTTACGATCTCAAGTTAAATCTGAGAAACTTTTTGTTAAACAATAGTTTATGCATTTCGAGCACACAAATGAGTTTTTTTATGTTTTTCCAATACACCATTATGTTTAGATTAACTAGCGGTAAAAAAAACTTTGGTATAATCTCGTAAGCTGTTTTTTTCTAACTAAATTTCTTGTTCAACTGTGATAAAATGTTTTCATAAACGGTTAAAAGGATATCAATTTTTCAATTTTTAAGCTCTATTTATGCTTTTACAATACTTACTTCATATTTGGGGAAGCATATTTTGGCAATCTTCTATTGGAGACATTGCTGAGTACCAGCTAGTAGCTAGCAGATCTGTCAGATTCAAAATTATCAAGAATAGCAAAAATTGAATCAGAATGATTGATCTTTCAGATCTGGAACAACCAAGAAAAACAAAATTTCAGATCTGAAATTAGATCTGATATAGAATTTCTCAGATCTGAAATAACCAAGAAAAACAAACTTTCAGATCTGACATTAGATCTGAAATAGCCCATCCTCGAAGTATCAAAGATTTAAATAAACATTTCTCAATCCATTTCTCAGATATCCCATTTTTCCCATTAATTCAGTAATTTGATAGAATAAGGGATTATGATCTTTTTATCAAATTATAAGAGATTAAAATAGATTTTCGGAAAAATTTCAGTCTGTTAGAATTGATTATACTTGACTAAAATATCACCAAAAATATTATCATTATAATGGATGGATTATATATCGTTTAAAAGTCTAAAATTGGCGCTTAGTTATATATTTTCTAAGAGTATGATTATAATTATAATATAATCGACTATTTTCTCTTTTTACTGATTGCGGGTACCCTTTATTGCGCGAAAAACGACAAAAAAATCTGAAGATCTTCTTGGTTCAGCGTTGAGAAATGTCGCGGAGAATGACAGACAAAAGAACTTAAAATAGTGAATTTGTCCAGCGTCAAAACAGCTTAATAGTTATAAGTAATTTTGCGCTGACTATCAAAATCATAAAACAAAAAAGGTCCCAACTAAATCCCCTTGTGCAGCCTACTGTGGAAATTACCTTCTAGCCACGTAATATTTTTGAAAAATGGTTACGAATAAAATATTCCTTTTAAATAAGCGCGCTTCAACAATATATTGCTTCAAGACATTTTGATGTACGTTTATATCGTCAAAACAGATACGACCGTTTCTTGTTGCTAGAACAAGTAAATCTTCCAACTTTTTGTAGTTTTTCGAGCAAGAAAGAGTAAATCAAGCTCATAAGCTTCCCAAAGAATTTAGTGTGAGCCCGTTAATTCAAAGCAGGGGCGGATTTAGGAGGGGCGGGTGGGACGGACGATCCCTTTGCCCCTTCGGTGATTCGACCCCTTGCCGACCCAAAGGGTCCCCCCTTTGGTACTTTTTAAGAAAACTATTTTTGACCGACTGACCCTCAAATTTTTCTAAAGGCGCCTTCAACGTCAATATATATATACTAACTTTGAGGGGGAGGGCGCCCCAAAAAAAACGCAATTTTTTGTCAATGTTTTCCAAAAAGTGCCCAAAAACGGCTTTTTTGACCTGTTTTTTCAAAAATTTGCCTGCGGCGCAGAAATTTTCGCCAAAACAGCGTCTTTTTAGTGCTTTAGGAGAGCTCGAAAAATCTATTTGTTTGGTCGACCTAAAAAAAAGATCGTCAATATTTTCGAAACTTTTTTGAAAATCCATCCCCCCCCTCAAGAAAATCCTAGATCCTCCCCTGGTTCAAAGTACTTGTTTGGATAAATTTTTCACCGTAAGATTTTTGAAAACGTTTTTTTTCTTCAATTTTTGACTCGTCAGAACTTCAGATCTGAAATAACCTTGAAAAACAAAACTTAAGATCTTAAATTAGATCTGAGAAACTTTTGTTAAATAACAATTTATGCATTTCGAGCACACAAATGAGTTTTTTAATGTTTTTCCAATACACCATTAGATTTAGATTAACTAGCGGTTAAAAAACTTCGGAATAATCTTAAAAGCTGTTTTTTTCTAACTAAATTTCTTGTTCAACTGTGATACAATGTTTTCATAAACGGTTAAAAGGATATCAATTTTTCAATTTTTATGTTCTATTTATGCTTTTACAATACTTACTTCATATTTGGGCAAACATATTTTGGCAATCTTCTATTGGAGACCTTGCTGAGTACCCGCTAGTAGCTAGCAGATCTGTCAGATTCAAAATTATCAAGAATAGCAAAAATTGAATCAGAATGATTGATCTTTCAGATCTGGAACAACCAAGAAAAACAAAATTTCTGATCTGAAATTAGATCTGATATAGATTTTTTCAGATCTGAAATAACCAAGAAAAACAAATTTTTAGATCTGACATTAGATCTGAAATAGCCCATCCTCGAAGTATCAAAGAGTTAAATAAACATTTCTCAATCCATTTCTCAGATATCCCATTTTTCCCAATAATTCAGTAATTTGATAGAATAAGGGATTATGATCTTTTATATCAAGTTATAAGAGATTAAAATAGATTTTCGGAAAAATTTCAATCTGTTAGAATTGATTATACTTGACTAAATATCACCAAAAAAATTATCTTTATAATGGATGGATTATATATCGTTTAAAAGTCTAAAATTGGCGTTTAGTTATAATTTTTCTAAGAGTATGATTATAATTATAATATAATCGACTATTTTCTTTTTTTACTGATTGCGGGTACCCTTTATTGCGCGAAAAACGACAAAAAAATCTGAAGATCTTCTTGGTTCAGCGTTGAGAAATATGGCAGAGAATGACAGACAAAAGAACTTAAAATAGTGAATTTGTCCAGCGTCAAAACAGCTTAATAGTTATAAGTAATTTTGCGCTGACTATCAAAATCATAAAACAAAAAAAGGTCCCAACTAAATCCCCTTGTGCAGCCTACTGTGGAAATTACCTTCTAGCCACGTAATATTTTTGAAAAATGGTTACGAATAAAATATTCCTTTTAAATAAGCGCGCTTCAACAAAATATTGCTTCAAGACATTTTGATGTACGTTTATATCGTCAAAACAGATACGACCGTTTCTTGTTGCTGGAACAAGTAAATCTTCCAATTTTTTGTAGTTTTTCGAGCAAGAAAGAGTAAATCAAGCTCATCAGCTTCCCAAAGAATTTAGTGTGAGCCCGTTAATTCAAAGCAGGGGCGGATTTAGGAGGGGCGGGTGGGGCGGACGATCCCTTTGCCCCTTCGGTGATTCGACCCCTTGCCGACCCAAAGGATCCCCCCTCTGGTACTTTTTAAGAAAATTATTTTTGGCCGATTGACCCCTAAATTTTTCTAAAGGCGCCTTCAACGCCAATATATATACTAACTTTGAGGGGGAGCGCGCCCCAAAAAAAACGCAATTTTTTTGTCAATGATTTTCAAAAAGTGCCCAAAAACGGCTTTTTTGACCTGTTTTTTCAAAAATTTGTCTGCGGCGCAAAAATTTTGGCCAAAACAGCGTCTTTTTAGTGCTTTAGGAGAGCTCAAAAAATCGATTTTGTTGACCTAAAAAAAAGATCGTCATTATTTTTGAAACTTTTTTGATAATCCACCCTCCCCCCTCGAGAAAATTCTAGATCCGCCCCTGGTTCAAAGTACTTGTTTGGATAATTTTTCACTGTAAGATTTTTGAAAACTTTTTTTTTCTTCAATTTTTGACTCGTCAGAACTTCAGATCTGAAATAACCTTGAAAAACAAAACTTAAGATCTCAAATTAGATCTGAGAAACTTTTGTTAAATAACAATTTATGCATTTCGAGCACACAAATTAGTTTTTTTAATGTTTTTCCAATACACCATTATATTTAGATTAACTAGCGGTTAAAAAACTTCCGAATAATCTCAAAAGCTGTTTTTTTCTAACTAAATTTCTTGTTCAACTGTGATACAATGTTTTCATAAACGGTTAAAAGGATATCAATTTTTCAATTTTTATGTTCTATTTATGCTTTTATAATACTTACTTCATATTTGGGCAAACATATTTTGGCAATCTTCTATTGGAGACATTGCTGAGTACCCGCTAGTAGCTAGCAGATCTGTCAGATTCAAAATTATCAAGAATAGCAAAAATTGAAACAGAATGATTGATCTTTCAGATCTGGAACAACCAAGAAAAACAGAATTTCTGATCTGAAATTAGATCTGATATAGATTTTCTCAGATCTGAAATAACCAAGAAAAACAAATTTTCAGATCTGACATTAGATCTGAAATAGCCCATCCTCGAAGTATCAAAGAGTTAAATAAACATTTCTCAATCCATTTCTCAGATATCTTATTTTTCCTATTAATTCAGTAATTTGATAGAATAAGGGATTATGATCTTTTATATCAAGTTATAAGAGATTAAAATAGATTTTCGGAAAAATTTCAATCTGTTAGAATTGATTATACTTGACTAAAATATCACTAAAAATATTATCATTATAATGGATGGATTATATATCGTTTGAACATCTATAATTGGCGCTTAGTTGTAATTTTGCTAAGAGTATGATAATAATTATAATATAATCGACTATTTTCTCTTCTTACTGATTGCGGGTACCCTTTATTGCGCGAATAACGACAAAAAAATCTGAAGATTTTCTTGGTTCAGCGATAAGAAATGCCGCAGAGAATGACAGACAAAAGAACTTAAAATAGTGAATTTGTCCAGCGTCAAAACAGCTATATAGTTATAAGTAATTTTGCGCTGATTATCAAATACAGAAAACAAAAAAACTGTCTCAACCAAATCGCCTTGTGCAGCCTACTGTAGAAACTACCTTCTAGCCACGTATTAATTTTGAAAAATGGTTATGAATAAAATATTCCTTTTAAACAAGCGCGCTTCAACAATATATTGCTTCAAGAAACAGAAACTTCTGGAAAACCGATATTTTATCACCCCTTATCCAATTTTGTCTCACATTCTAGTCCAAGTTTTAGTGCCTAAAATTTGGTCAAAGTTTTCTCGAGCACCGGAGACATTTCGATGTACGTTTATATCGTCAAAACAGATACGACCGTTTCTTGTTGCTGGAACAAGTAAATCTTCCAACTTTTTGTAGTTTTTCGAGCAAGAAAGAATAAATCAAGCTCATCAGCTTCCAAAAAAAATTATTGTGAGCCCGTTAGTTCAAAGCAGGGGCGGATTTAGGAGGGGCGGGTGGGGCGGACGATCCCTTTTCCCCTTCGGTGATTCGACCCCCTGCCGACCCAAAGGGTCCCCCCTTTGGTACTTTTTAAGAAAATTATTTTTGGCCGACTGACCCTCAATTTTTTCTAAAGGCGCCTTCAACGCCAATATATATACTAACTTTGAGGGGGAGCGCGCCCCAAAAAAAACGCAATTTTTTTGTCAATGTTTTCCAAAAAGTGCCCAAAAACGGCTTTTTTGACCTGTTTTTTCAAAAATTTGCCTGCGGCGCAGAAATTTTGGCCAAAACAGCGTCTTTTTAGTGCTTTAGGAGAGCTCGAAAAATCTATTTGTTTGGTCGACCTAAAAAAAAGATCGTCAATATTTTCGAAACTTTTTTGAAAATGCATCCCCCCCCCCCTCAAGAAAATCCTAGATCCTCCCCTGGTTCAAAGTACTTGTTTGGATAAATTTTTCACTGTAAGATTTTTGAAAACGTTTTTTTTTCTTCATTTTTTGACTGTTCTGTCAAGGCTGAAAAAATGCTGTCCTTATGGCTCAAAATCTTCATCCTAGAAGTGCTTTTCAATTTCAATAAACTTATTTCAGCACTCAGCTGATCTCATCAAAGAAATACAACTTGTCTGTGGTGACCGTTCAGTTGGAAGACCTTATTGAGAATCCCCGCAAGCACGCAGAAAAAATCTGCCATCTATTGGAGCTGTCATGTGACGAAAACTACATCAGAGGAGTGGTTTCCGGCGTTCTGGACTCTCCGAATCCGTCTAGAAACGGAGTTAAATGGACCCAAAGTCAGATCGAAAAAGTAAACAACATTGTCACTCGGTTCCCAAGTGTGTTCTCAATGGCACAGCATGCTCGCTTAGAACTTTAATCCCTTTTCAAAACAATATTTGTAAATAGATTTCAAAAACTGAGAAATGTAATTTACATACCAATTACCTTTCAAAAACTGAGAAAGGTAATTGGTATGTAAACTATTATCATATCTTATTCCTTCTGATGCCATTTGCGTTTGAACAATTTTGTTTGATTTTCTGGAGTGGCAGAGGGTTGTAAAGAGATCACAGTCATACTAAATTTCAGCTTGATTTGCTTTGGTCTAAAAGTTGTTTTAAAAATGTGTGACAATGAAATGCACTGAAAGCGCACATTTGTTTCATTTAGAAGTTTTTAATAAAATTGGATAGAATCAAAGATTAAAAGAGCGTGTAGGTGCCTTTGTGCAAAATGTTTTTTGTAGCGTTTCATTTTCCCTGGGTCGAGGTCTGCGTCTTAAGTCGTGACCGAATATGGTTGCGCTGGATGAGTGTTTTGAGTCCGGCCGAGGTTTTGAGTCGCGCAAGGTCGAAGCTAGAGTAGCCACACCAAGGTCGAGCCACAGTTGTTCTTAACATTGCTAGTAAAGGCAGTGCGGTTTTTGGTCGAGAAAATGGAAATGTATCTAAGCGGATCTAGCAAACAAA